TTATATACTTGGATTATATGATTTTAAGCAACTGAGCCAACTCAATTGGTGTTTTAATGAATTAATAGTTTCTGAATAGTTATTACCTTATCTTAGATATAACTGCTTATAAACTGTTTTCAACCCATTCTTATTAGACGGTATCTGGCGGAGCCCTGCCGGACATAAGAATGGAGATCATGTAATGGTGTTCAAACGTTTTTTTGTGAATGAATGTTTTCATAGGCTGTGCTTAGGAAAAATGGATTATACTGCAAAATTAATTAGAAGTAGGTAGGTGGATAGTCTATGCTATACCGTAGATAGGTTATAGTTAATTGAAATTCATGAAACATCTTTCTTTAAAACCGAATTAAATGAATTTTATTGAGTTTAATTCATATGGTATATAAATTGTTGAAATCCCAAGGTTGAACAGTTGATCATAGTAAGAGGATCGTGGTGAAGTCAATCCCTAAGTATCTCTACCCTTGATCTTTTCTTTTTACTTTATTTATTTTCTGTTTATATTATTGCACCACAACAAATCAAATCCTCTTTCTAAATTAAAATAGTATTAATTGAAGACTTGATAAACCACCACAGTCCTTAAGGTTCGACACCCTCAACATAACCCTATCCTATAAGGATTCGTTTTATTGCGAGTGGTTAATTTATTATTGACACACTTCACATGCCACTACCAAGAGATCATGTTACTACCTTGATTAGACGAAAACAATTTCCACCATACCCCACTATCTAGACATCTCATGCCAAATGAAATATGGCAACCGATTTAACCTTAGTCTCTAAGTGAAAATACCACCTCAGATGGAGCGTACTCCCACTTAGTCAACTGTATACCATTGTCTAGAAGTAGTGTAATTGAATAAGATTTGTCTCCTAGTGGTGATCGTCCCCATCCGCCTGTCGCTAGTTCTATCATATGAAATCTATATCTAGTGACCAGTGAAACAAATACCCTCTGGAGGAGCACCCAAGATTGGTGGCGAGGTACTTGTTACACCTTACAATAGACCGACAATGGAAGGCTATGGAATTTAAGAATAAATCCCGCTCCCACTTGATTTTTTTAAATTAGAGAGTTTTCTATAAGTTTTATACATCCCATGTATAATATCATCATGTGAAAATATTAATTTTAATCTAAGTAATATTGGAATCCTTTTAAAATTTTTATTTTAGGCTCAATAAGCCTAAACCATTTGGGTCAACATAGCTCAATTTCTTAAGCTTAACTATGAAATAATCCTACACTTTTCACAAAATTTAATTTTAATTTTCAAAAAATCAAAATTTTGAAAATATTTTGGAAAGTGCTAATTTTCCCAAAACCACCCAAATAATTGATTCCAATTTTATTTAGTTTAAAATTAACTAAAAATACAACTAAAGCAATTCATGGATTAAGCATGACATTCAAGCATATAAGCATCACATGAATATAAGCACGTAATTAAAATCATGTTGCACCATAAATAGCTAATCCCCTCTCATGGCCGGTTGATAGTCATTTCAGATCATCTTGTGCTTTAAAAGTCCTCCAATGGAAAAGTTGGCTCTTTATCTTGTTTGAATTTTTTCGTTGATCTCTTCAAGAATTTCAACCTTAAATTTAATAAATATAGTACAAGGCTTTGTCCTTACCCAATTTAGGGCTTACAAAAATTCTAAATAAGATAAAATAAAATAAACTTATTCGGCTAGGGAAAATCAATCCTTATTTAAAATACCGCCACTAATTAAATAATTACATTACATGCAATTAAATAATAAAGTAAAACTCAACCGGGCCATGAAAGAGATTAAATTATTTAATCTGCACCTGCAATTAAACTTTAATATGCATACAAATACATGCATATTTTCGTGTAAGGATAATAATGAAACTGATTGCATCATATAAACAATCATATATGATTTCTAACAGATTATATAAATAGTGTAGTGAACATTTTTAAACAAAGTACAGTGATAACAACATGAATATTATATTGATTAAATATAACCCATATATAGCATGATGAATACTATATTCATGATATTTGGTTATCATTCTTACGAATGACCCACAGTATTGTCAAGCAAATCATTAATTCATTACTATCATATATATTGAAATCCATGAACAACCCCCATCACATGGGTGTAATTCTAAAGGCAATCAAAATATTGTGATTGTTAAAACAAGAGTGACGTGCTCAGGGTTTATGACTGCTCGTACAACTCCATAAATAGAAGACCATTGATCATTGAGCTTTCAAGTTTCGATACTAGCGACTGCCAGTCGCAGATCAAACAATTATGGATATTAACAGTTTCATTGAAACAGAAAACCCTCACATTAGCCTACTTGTACAACTTTGGACATTCTAGCAGACATATATATAAAGCAATAAATCACTATATATGTGCGCATAATAACAATAAAGCAATTAAATCATTACTATGATTGAATGAAAATTGCGTAGGTTGCTTTGATACCAATTGAAGACACGACGGAAGCATTTAAAAATTTTAGGAGCGTAACCACGTGATTTTTCATCAAATCAAGAAGTACTGTAAAAGGGTCCCATACATTTAGACGATTAAATAATTATCGAATACGAGAACATAATTCTTTGGCTTTGAACTCCGATGAACACATTCTTCTTTAGCCTTGAATACCAATGAGTCTTCACCTCTATGACCCCAATATAGGTTTATGGAACCCCAACCTTCTCTCTCACTCTATGTATTCTGAATAGTGTACCACAAAAATTCTATATCGCAGCGTGTCAAATATATGACCTGAGAGAGTCGGTTAAATTATCTGAGGCTAGAGATGAGGATCCAAGAGGGCTTCCTTATCCTAGCTCCAATTGGATAGAGATAGAAATTACACTAGGATTTAGAAATTACGACAAGGCCTGCCTACTAAATAATTACATATAAGCCCCTCTACTGCCGAATATCCATAAGTAGCCCCAGGAAAATATACTGTCCCACCTAAAGCTTACTTATATTTTATATTCCTTGAGTAAACCAATTTAATCCTTATGACCACTGAATTAAATTCTTTTATAAAAGGATTTTTCAAAATAAATATTTTTTCTAAATAAATAATAGAAAAATAATCTAGTAAACATTTTACTAAAATGCCTTATAAAGAGTGTGGAATCCATGTTGAGCATTTGTATTCCCAGAGCTCCAACATTAGCCACCCAAGATACCGTGGTATTAACCTTAAAAGATCTCAAACATTGGTGAGTCAAAGTGATTAGTATTGAAACTTGAGTTCATTAAATCCCTCAGGATTTAAAGCCTATGAATTTAGAGATAAGAAATACACCAAAATAATGACAGTATATTGTATTGTGTGATCTTTTAGTGATCCAGTTCAATGTACTCCAAGCACACTAACACACTACCTTAGAATCAACTACCCCAATGGTCGAGGCAAACCATCCTATCTTATAAAGGTCAAGTGTGTTATAGTCTTACAGATAAAAGTGCCCAACTTTTATCACTGATTGCAAACAATGCCAAGGTGCAAGAAACTGGTGAACCCAAATCTCCTGCGTGTAAATCTCATTTACACACCTAAGTTACCTATAATGCAACTTGAGAACTATAATGCATCTCATACAAATATATGTAAGGCCCGATGCAGAATATTATATTTATTAATAAAATATCGAATAAATAATAAATAATTGACTTGTTGGGCATATTTTCCCAACACTAATGTCATAGCAAGTGACAACATGCTGTTGCCGTGCCGGCCATTGAATCTAGTTTGGTATGGTTGATTGGTTCCCAAATCAATCTTTATTGCTTCTAACACCTTCGTTTATCAGATTTCTTCTTGTTAAGTTGCTGCAATTTTTGGGCTAAAGATCACTAAGCTTAGACACACAGGACAAAAGTAACTATTGTTCTTTGTGATGCTCACTAGAACTGTTGTCAATATAAGGCTCACCGGACTAAAGTTTTTCAATTCACCGGTGCACCAATCGGCTGGGTCACTGAAATGAATAGAAATTGGTAGTTGAGCTATAGCCGGCGTTCATGGAATTTGATGATGTTGAATCTTTTGTTTTTGACAATGGTGAAGCTTTCTAGTCTCACCCTTTTTCTTCTCTCTCAATCTTGCTCTATTGACGTACCTTCAGCCATTTTTATACTCAATCCATGAAACCCAGTTCTCTATTGAGCTCTCTCTCTCTCTCTCTCTCTCTCTCTCTCTCTCATATTTCTTCTCTTCAAACCAAGTATTTATGCTCTTCATCTTTCCTAGGTTTTGGTCTTTCATCTCTTTGAAGAAGACAACCAACACAAAGAAGACAACTAGCACGAATAGGGAGATGGATTGCGTTGACCCTTTATCAAACCATACAAAAGGAATTTTAGAAAAAGAGGGTGAAAAGATGAAAACGACCCACTTAATAGGGGTATTTTTGTAATTTCATAATAATAAATATCAATTTTTAATTTAATATTAAATTAAAAGGTTAATTTTGTTATTTCACAGCCTAATAAACGAGTCTGTCACATGTATGTGGTAACTTAATAGCATTTCTTTAGTTCACTGAAGTGTTTAATTTTATTGGGAGTTTTTTGCACGAAAATGATAGTAAAAAAAGGTTATGTGATTTTACCCCTTATTTTAATTTTTAATACTCACTCATCCCTTAAACTTCCCAATTTTGTTCCTCCTTTTTACTGTTCCGTTCAAGTTGGGTCTCCTATGTAAGAGGCCCTTTATACAAATAGGGCATTTTTGTTTGGGGGTCTAACGATTGTAAGAAGGGCAATTAGGTCTTTTAGTTTTCACAAGGGCTTTGTGGGTCATTTATTTTAAATTGGTTACCGCGGCGGGGGCTGCAGAGTGGGTAAAATTTTTATATTTCAATTGGATTATTTGCTAATTGGATCATAGTTCAAGGGAGTCGCACTTCATCCTATTATAATAAAATAATATCTTCCTTATGTCTAACACTAGTACCACATCCAAATTACGAAATAAAGCATCAGACCATAATTCAAATCAAACATGCAAATTCTGAATGTCCATGAAACCCAAAAAAAAACACTTTAATGCAAACATTTGCATTGTCATCTCCAAAATCATTTGTTCTAATAATACTAAGAGTATCAAGTTTCATCCATCTTTTTTACGCAAGACACTAGCAGTCCATCCAACTCTCATTTGAAGCGCAAAGTTGAACAGTAAATTACTATTTGAAAGACACTGAGCGTTCATCTCTCCCATTCTGAATCCATAACCTGTCGATTAACCTTTGGTGGACCCTGGTCCGTGCTTTTCGGCAGCTGATTTGTGTAACGATCCCATCCCATGATATGGGGCAATGCGAACTGCAGAAAAACGCAAACTATGTGAACCAAGTGTAACACACACCACACACACACTCTCACATGCCCATCCATCTGTGCACACATGGAATATTTTCATCAGCGCAGCTGAAAAGTTGAACTGTCTGCCCACTGCATTAACAGACAGCATCAATAGGTTTCAAATCCAACTTTGATGAGTGAAAAAAAGAAAAAGAAAAAGAAAACGCAAACATATATGATATTGAATCACTATCCATAATCATTCTCATCATCCGACCGAATAGTATGTCTTCCACAACGAAGACTACTCGCGTAATGGAAATGTAATACGTCACAGTATGATATCATGAGTTATTCCTAAGCCCTAGAAGCAGGAGCAACAATGACAACAAAAATAAATAATAAAAAATAAATAGAAGAAGAATATTTTTCAATACAGTTTTCCTCAGACGCACCACCCAAAATAATTAAATAGATACTTACTACAGTAAAAAGAACAAAAGTGGTTAACTATCTAGGAGAAAAAACCAGTATCAAAACTAACAAAAGCAATAGCATGAGCAATATCTTAAATGGCAACCCGACCTAATTTGTGAATCTCTACATCTGTTTCGTCTGAGAGTAATAAATTACTCGTGTGAAAACTAATGACATGCCAGTGACACTGAAAAGATAAGTGATGAGTAACATGGTGATGCTTTAATAAACAAAACCATGCCAAACCCAAGAATACATTATCTTGTGCAAAAACATTGACACCATCATTGTGGGTAAGAAATAGAGGCAAAATTAACATTCCGCCCAGCAACAGACAGCTAACACATATACCCAGCTATTCTATGTAGAATACAGAGTCAACAGCACCACAAAATCTTTTTTAAGAAATTGATATACAAACAGATTAACAAATGCCACTCATACACAAGAATAGGAAAAATAACCTGCTTTAACAAATTGTCCATTTAGATTGCGTGTACACTTTCACCTTTAAATTGTATGCAGTAATAATGATTTTAAATAAATGTGTAGATGAAATATTATTTACCATGACTGTTGCCTCCTCTTACTTTGGTTTATTTCTAAGAACAGAGTTACTAAAGTTGGTAAAAAAACATAAAATAAAAATAAGGATAAATTGTATCTACACCCTCTAAGATAAGTGATGGAGAGTGAGCTATTATTTTTATGCATGAGCCGTACGTGTTCTGCCTCTACTTTTGGAGAATAGGCAAAGATTGATGAAATTAGGGATTTGATATAATTAGGGTTAATTTTTAATATTTTGGTAATGTTTTTATTTTAGGGTTTTAGTACTTTATTATTGTAGGGTTTGGTTATGATTTTTCCTATATAAAGGCTTCTATATAACTACTAAGCAAAGCACGATTTTTTTTTTTTTTTAATAAGCGTTCTTGTCCCTCTCTGTCATGCTATTCTCAACCCTTATTCTCTCTAGCCTATCTTTGCAATTTGTTTCCTCACCTTCTTGCCTGTTCCTCATCTCCTCCTTCTAGCCTCATCTCATCTTCTCACTCCTTGCTTTCATTTGGGTTCTAAATTTGCATTAGGACACGCCTACCGGTACTTCATCAGTAAGGCCTAATTACACTTGGTTTCAGTGTTTGTGAAAACCTATACTAACACCCTTGTTAGAGCTGGTGTTATAAACTACGTCAACGGTTCATGTCAAATGTCATAGTTGACCTTTGCTCTAATAGTTTTAATAAAGAAGTTTTTGACATGAAAAGACCAGCTTACCCACATAATAATAACTCATACTCTACAGTTTCCTGATTGGTTTTAACTAAAGAGTTTTGAACTGGACTACTTTTCTAGGGTGCATATAAACAAAAATGAACTCTAGAAACCCTAAATAAACCATATAAAGTTTTTCCACTGTTCATTCATATTCTTTGAAAATCTTATACAATTTGTTTATTTTGATAAAATACATTTTTTTTTTTTTTGATAAATAAGCAAATTCATTTAAAAAATCGTTTTTTTTTTTTTTCCTAGTTGGTATACTCACACACACACGTCTCTTTTAAGACTTAAACCCCTGACCTCCCTTTGGGAGGTAAGAGACTAATACCGCTAGGCCACTAGCCCAAAAACAGCAATCGATGATTCATTTCATTCAAATGATCTATTATTCCGCTCCCTCCAAAAACACCACCAAAAACACAAAGGCGCCATCATCCAAATCCCACGAGCATGACCTCCCACATAGCACCCTCTCTAAGCCTCCATCAAACCTCTCGTAGATCGAGGCATAACCCACGAAACCCCAAACATTCCTAGCAAAAGACACCAACAATCCAAAGCCACTGGACAATGCAACAGAAGATGATCCACCGATTCCCCATTGCACTTGCACATACAACACCAATTAATTGTGATTTGTCTTCGTCGCCTCAAATTATCAAGCGTCAAAATCTTGCCCCACACCACTGTCTAAGTAAAGAACACCACTTTGAGCGGTACCTTAGACCTCCACACTGATTTCCATGGAAACATAATCCCTGTATTATCTGATAAGCATTGGAAATATGATCTCACTTCAAACATTCCCCGAGAAGAAGGCACCCAAACAAGCGAATCTCTCTCCCTGCCACAGATCTCATGCTGATACAACCGATCTAGTAACCCACAAATGTCATCCAACTCCCAATCCTGAAACGCTCGTACAAACCACACATCCCAAGTAACCCTCCCGCTATCAAGCCGATAGCGGTCAACAACCGAAACATGCCTATTAATAGCAATCCTAACCAATCTGAGAAATGCACAAGCAAGAGTACAATCACCACACCAAATATCCTCCCAAAACCGCACATCCCTACCCTCCTAAACTCTGAATCTGATGTGTTTGAAAACTCATTCCTACCTTTCCTAATGAATTTCCGAACTCCGACACCAGCAGGAATCCTCACCAAACACGAACACCATCCCCCCCGTTTCTTCCCCAAACCGGCACAAAATAACCCTCCTCCACAACCTATGATGTTCCAGTCCGAACCTCCACAACCACTTGCCAAAAAGAGCCCTGTTTAATGGCACCAGCCTCCTTATCCCTAAACCTCCGGCCTGAATCGGCCTACAAACCTGCTCCCACCGAACAAGATGATATTTAAATTCTCCTTGAAGTCCACCCTATAGAAAATTCCTCTGAAGCCTCTCAATCGAATTAGCAACCCAACTGGTATCTAAAAGAGGGATAAAAAATAAGTAGGAACACTTGATAACGTGCTTTTCAAATGAGTGACCTTCCCCCCTTTCAATAAATACTACTACTTCCACCCCGCAAGTCTCCTCTGAACCCTCTCAATCACCGGATCCCAAACACCCACATTCCTCGAAGAAACTCCCAAAGGTAACCCCAAATATGTAATCGGAAAGCTACTGATTCCACATCCAAGCACAAAAGCTAACTCACCAATATTTTACACCTCCCCTACTGGAATCAAGGCACTCTTCCCTACATTCACTTTCAATCCTAACACCGCTTGAAAGCAACTCAACACCGATCTCAGATACCTCATCTGGGAACCTCAGCCTCACAAAACACCACCATGTCATCCGCAAACAATAAGTGGGATATCTCCATATGATGAACATCACCCCCACCCACTTTGAACCCCTTAATAAAACCCAACTGCACCGCCCTCCCCATCAACCTACTAAGAGCCTCCATAAGAATAATGAACAAGAAAGGAGACAAAGGCTTCCCCTGGCGCAAGCCTAGCGAGCTACCAAAGAACCCAGTCGAAGACCCATTAACCATCACCGAAAATCTAGCTGAAGATATACAAGCCTCAATCCAACACCTCCAGTTATCCCCAAAACCCATTCTATCCATCAAATACAACAAGAACTTTCAATTCACATGATCATAAGCTTTCTCAACGTCGAGCTTACAAAGAACCCCTGGGACACCACTCCTCAACCTCGTGTCCACACATTCATTAGCAATAAGAGCAAAATCAAGAATATGACGCCCACCTATAAAAGCGTTCTGAGATTCCGAAAAGATATCATCCCGAACAACCCTCAACCTTAATGCTAGAACAATAGCTATTAATTTATAAATGCAACCCGGCAAACTAATAGGTCTAAAGTCCTTTACATCTGAAGCTCCCCCCTTCTTAGGAACAAGTGCAATAAACGATGCATTCAAAGAGTTCTCAAACCTCCCCTGAATATGGAAGGCATGAAACGTAGCCATCACCTCTCCCCTAACCACCACCCAACTCTCCAATAGAAAGCTCATAGTAAAACCATCCGGCCCCAGAGCTTTGTCCCCGTTACCACTCCTCAACGCCTATCAATCTCAGCAATCTCCGCAAAAGCCCTATTCTTCCTCCACTCCAAATTCCCAAACACCTCCATATTCCACCTTTTAATCTAATATTTTAACCCCTTAAGCTTTTTTGCAAGAATAAAGCTTGAATTACGATCCACCCTGATACCCTCCCACCAAGCCCTCAGATTCTCTGTCAGCCTGCGACGTCATCACTCTGCCACATCATCGCTACCACATCAGCACCATGTCAGCAATGTCAAAGTTTTTGTTCTGAAAACACCTATTCAGCCCAGTTTTTCGCGCTAATTCCGAATTTGCATTCCATTTTTGCATTTGGAATTTCCAAATGGTCCAAAATGAGGTAACTCACCCTATTCCAGTTCTTCTTAATGGTGACAATTACTCCTTTTGGAATCAATCTATGCGCAGCTTTCTGAAAGGTCGCAAGCTATGGTCCTACGTCACTGGAGATCGTACAGAACCTACTCAAGCCAAAAAAGAGACATCAGATGCTTATGCAACACGTGTTGAAGACTGAGACAATAACAATCACAAGATCATCACATGGTCACGCAACACATCCAATTCTTCCATTGGTATGGAATTTGGGAGTTGCGAGGCAACCAAGGAGATCTAGGACATGCTTGCCTCTCGCTACTCTGGTTCTGATGGGGCTCGCCAATTTCAATTAATGGTTCAACTTTCTACTCATAAACAA